GTGGGTATACGTAAGTCTGATTAAAATATTAGAGGTACTTATATATAAATTAATTATTCTTTTTATACAAACCTCTACACATTAAAGAAAATTTTTTATAAATACTTACAATTTTCAAATAAATTTTTAATATTTATTAAAGGCATTAGTATATGTCAGTACAGCATACACAAACGTAAACAATCCATTTATCGAAGAAAAAGTGTACCCACCTATAGCTGATTGGCAGAAGACGATAGATGTGGCCGAGTCATTAGATGAGCATACTTTGAACATTTTTACAGCTAAGTAAGTTGCAAATGGAAATCGTGATTACAAACTGCAAATAGTTGAATATATACTAGAATAATTAATCTCCTTTGAACTATTTTTTTTATTCACGTTGTAATTATATATAGATATTTGGATTACGCTCCCAACACGTATAATTTTTCGAAAAACCTAGCAGAGAGTATAATACAGGAATATTCTTTTTCCTTACCGTGCGCGATTGTAAGACCGTCCATAGGTACGTAACCTTTCTTTTAAGTATCAGAACAGTAGACGTAGCAAACAATAAATATATACATATTTTAAATTTTACTATATATTTTAGAAACATATTTACTTTAATTTTTACATTTATGTAATATAGTTAGTCAAATATATTGTTAAACCATATTTTTGCTTATAATAGAGGTAAATAAATTTGCTGATATTTATTATGAGAAATTACACTGAACAAGATTTAAAAATATGTTTAGAGGGCTTTGAGACGGCTTTCATTATTTTAGTTAATAATATATTGGCAAGAAATAGTTTAACAATACTAGAAGAATTAAGTAGTAATTTAACACTAATAAACAAATATATCTTATATATTTTATTTTAGTGTATCCATCGCTAAAAGAACCAATGCCAGGATGGATAGATAACGTTTATGGGCCAATAGGAATGTATATTGGTGCCGGAAAAGGAATACTACGAGTAGGCTATTGTAATAAATATCTGAATGAAGATGTAGTTCCAGTAGACATTGTCATCAAAGCTATATTAGTCGTATCTTGGAAGATTGGATTGACTACGTATGATCATCAACGTACACATATGTGCATGCATTTATGACTTTATCACATTATGAACATAAAAGTTTTCTTTTTAATTTGGAACTGCATCACAATTCATGTTTATAATATGATCCTATGAATCTTACCCAATCTATTTTGTTAAATTCAAAGAGGAATTCTTAGTCGCGCGCTAACGAGCCTATAAGTACCTATAGTCTATAAGATGGATGTAACTTGTGCAATATTCATACTAGAAAATTATTCAAAGATATAACATTTACTCAATATTAGTAAAAATTTCTACTTACTTCAATTCTTTTTAACTATACATTTTTTCTACTGTGCATTAAAATAATTACATCTAAAAGATTTTAAATGCCTATTTTTATAATATGAAATAAATTTATCTGATATGTTTTACTTGTAAAATGAGATTAAGAATATGTCCTGTACAAGGTGAGTTATTTTAATTTACCCAATCCAAGATTATTTTTATTTTTAATTATAGAAAAAGATTCTTCAAACAAAAGTTGTTTGGTTTGAAAGGGGATACATAATTCCGATGTGAGTTATGTCGTAGATGTCATCGTTTTCAAGAAATTTCAAATCGACTAATTTCTTAAATAAAACTTGATTTTTTCTTGAGATAATAGTTGTAAATCTCAAAACATTATAATAAAACTTTCTTTCGTTAAGAATTTTCTAAAATGTTTTAATTTTGAAATATCTCGTAATGTACTCATTTTTCGATGACTTTACCTTAATACTTTTATACATAGAATATTTAAAAAAATCGAATAATAATATTAATTTTTACATTTGCAATTTTGCAAAATTGAATGCGTCTACAAAATGCAATTGAATATAAAAATCATTTTTTCTGTTTTTTTTTTTTTTTACAACAATCAATCTCGTTCATTATTTTACATAAAAAGAAATTGTACATAAATTTATGCAAATAATGTTATTAGGCAACCAAAATCCAGTCTTGACCGTAAATGGCCTTTTCTCTAAGTTGAATGTATATTATATCGATTCTATTTAATTTATTATTAACATTAAAGAACTTTTTAAATAATTTAAAAAAAATTTTATTGCATAATTACATTTTAAAAACATAATTCAATAATTTGCCAAAACATGTTAAATAATTAAAATTTGTTAATAAATATTTTGTATACCGTACAATTCAAAATTTCACAAATTTTTGTCTTAATATTGAAACTTGATTCAGATCTTACAAAACTTTATGTAAATTATAAACATGTTATTAATTATATTTAATTTTTAATTATATTTAAGTTATTAATTAATTTATATTTTTGTTTTTAGCTTTACAGGTTCCACTTTCGTTTTAAATTGTATAAACCCGAAACCCATGACACATCAAAATATAATAGAGTTGTTCTATACTATAGCAACTGAGGTGCCTTTGGAAGGAATTGTCTGGACTATTAGCCAAACAACAACTGATAATTTTACTCTGTACTATATATTATTTATATTATTGCATATCCTGCCAGCTATGTTAATAGATATGATTTTGAACTTTTCTGGACGTCGACCTTTGTAAGTCAAAATCAAATACTTAACTAGTTTAGCAAATGCAAATTATTCATACATTTGATAAAATCGATAACATTTAGATGCAAATTAAAACAGTATACTTTCTTTTAGAAAAAATATATTTTTGTTGTCATAAATTAACGTTAATACTTTGTCTATATTCTTTCTCTGTCTCTCTCTTTATTTGTTTATCCAGTTCTTTTTCCTACATATAGATAAATAAAATTACTTTTTAAAATAAAATTTTTATGTATAACTATATATTTGTAAAAATTATATACGGAATTGTTTTATTACGTTTTTCTTGTTGCGAATTTGGAATCTACAGATTTAGTAGTATAGTTGACAATGTATCGTTATAACTGAATTGTTTTGGATTAATAAATAATGTGTAAATTAGTCTAGTACGACTGCAGAGAAATCTGTATGTGGTCAATCGTTTCCTGGGGTATTTCACATGTAATGATTGGAAATTCAGCAATACAAATAGTTTGGCTTTGATGTCCTCAATATCATCTGAAGACTGGGATATGTTTTCTTTCAATTATTCCGATTTCAATTCTGAGGAGTATTACAAGTAAGTATATTATATTTTTTATTCTAAATATCTA